CGGCGACGTCACCGCCGCGTCGCCATGGAGACACTGCGCCCGCCCCCTCCCCGCGCACTCACACACTCACACACTCACACACGCACACACACTCGCCGGCGCGCAGCCACTGAGGACTGGCCGGCTCTAGGCTTAAAGGGGCCGCGCGACGGGGGAGGACGGATGGAGAAGGCGGGGGTGGGATGGGGTCCCGGGGGTCATGACCCTTCTCGGAGGCTCCAAGTCTGCAGATAACTGAAGTCCTCGGCACTCGCGACCTGCCGCCCCTCCTCCTCTCCTGCCCACTGCGGGATCCAGAGTTTCTTTTCGGATCCTGTAAGAAGGGAGGGGGTACCGTCTGAGAGGGGTCAGAAACTTTTGTCGGGAGGAGGCATGGACCTTTTGGGAGGAGGTAGAATCTTCTCTGCAGGGGAGCCGGGGTCAGGACCTTGGAGGATGACCAAGACCACGTTTCCCAGCCTGGCCTTACCCTGCCCCCCCAACCCTGAGTCTGAATGGGGGCAGCTGTCCAGGGGTGGGGTGGAATGGGTGGGAAGCTTTTCCCAACATCGGAAATAGGGAGGCGGCTGTGCCCTCTGCTCCTCCGGGGTTGGGGTCTTAGCCTTAACAGAGAGCCCCAGTCCCAGCTGGGGAGGAAGTGACCAAAGAGAATGCATTCGGGAGCCCCCCCTCCATCCCCGGGCTGCAGCTGTCCTCAGGACACGGCTGGGCAGGAGGTACCCCCCACCTCCACTACCAGGGCAGGGGGTTCCGGGGGTGGGGCCAGGATGCGTGGGGGCTACCAATGTCAGAACAAATGTGGTCCCAAGGGGGCACTGGGGGGTCGCCAGGAGAGAGGAAAGCAGGGCTTAAGGATGAAGGCCAGCGCGGTAGGGCGTAGGGCGGTGTTAAGTCTCTGTTCTCTGCAGCCAGGAGGGATGGATGGAGCCTGAGGCTTCGGGGAAACAGGAAATCAGGGCTGATCAGATGGCCAGCCCTAGCCGGCAGCGTGTACAGGGCAAATAGAAGCAATACTCACAGGCCTAGCCTGCTGGCAGTCTCAGAAAAGACTCTGAGGTACCAAAGGATGGAAATATAGGTGAGGGGTAATGCTCAGAGATGCTGAAACCCAGAAGATGGTTATAGAGAGACAGACAGGCCACGGTGAGGGAAGGCCTGCAGGGTCAGCTCTGGGTTTTTAGGGCTTGAAGTCCAGTCTCCATTGCTGGGTTCCTAGCTGCATTAGAGCAGTCCCTCACCCGTGCCTTGAGAAGTCTCAGGCCTCTTCCTTGGGGAGACCAAGGGCTCCAGGGAAGCATCACCCCTCTGGAGAATTAATTATGTAACCTTGCCTACTGACAGTGCAGCTCCCCCACAGTACTGTAACCCCCTGGGAGCAGTGTGGTCCAGCAATCATCATCATCATCATCATTGTTATTATAACAGCTCACGATGTGCCAGGCACTAGGCCAAGCACTGTCCCAGGCATCTTCTCATTTAATCCTCACAAATGCCCAAAGAGGGGAATTACTGTTGTTATCCCCATTTACAGATTAAGACGGTGAGGTTCAAAGGGGAAGTCAATGTGCCAAAGCCCTAGTCAGTGAATGTTGCAGCAGGGATTCGAATCCTGATCTATCCAATTTGGAACCACCATCCTTAATCACTATGCTTTACTACCACCTTTCCTGCCCCGTCTCCCCGCCTAATAAAGACGCTGCAAAATTTCCCATAGGTCTATAACAGCCTCAGTGACCCCTGCACTCCCACTAGCAAGTCAGAGACCAGGGTTGCAACCCTAACTCTGCTACTTTCTGTCTGTGACATAGACCAAGTAAGTATACCTCTTGGAGCCTCAGCTTCCTCATCTGTAATATGGGGATATTAACAGAGCCTACATGATGGGGTTGCTGTGAGAAATCGGGGATGTGAAGCGAATAATAAATACTAGTAGTATTAGTAAACTATATACCCCATGCATAGTGTAAGCACCCCTTGCCCTACAGACACCAACTATAGACAGTAAACACAGCCTTGACCATGTGAAATTGCCTGTTAATGGCAAAATCCCACCCTGACCCAGTTGGATAACTCAGTCCCACTGCTTCTATGAAACATAATCATAGATGGTGGGCAAGCATCATGGGAGAGTCTGAACCACACACCGGGGATAGGAATCCCTGGTAAAAAATGTCCCCGGGCATGTGACTTCTTCTGGCGGTTTGTAAAAACATCCACAGATATGGAAACCCCTCAGAGGTCCCTGTGACTTCACCATAGAAATGTGGATCCTCTTGGATAGTTCAGTCATCTCATGAACACTAAGAGTCACCCCCAGGGAGGGTACCCTCCACCTTTACTGTGTGAAGCACTTAATATTGTGAATTTGTGATAGAAACTATTCATCGTCACTGCTTATTCCTTGAAGACATACCATCCAACCAGAGCCGTGTCAGTTCCAATGAACAAGGAGACCCCTCCCTCTAGTTCGCTATGGAAGCCTCCGGGAATCCCCCTGGAGGACAAGCCTGTTATGAACAGTGCAAAGCTCCATGGAGAAAACAACTCTGTCCAGACAGTGAGGACACCCCCGCTCCTCCTGTGGACCTAGGAGTTCTTGTTCCAGTTTACTGTCCTGACACAGATAACATTTATCCTCTCGCTGTCAAGCTAAGGCATGGATAGAAGCTGTCCCCCACAGAAGTTAAAACCCTATACAGACTTTACTCCTAAACGGGAAACTGGAGATAATAAAAATTATCCCATCATCCCTGTGAGCAATGATGAAGTATTACTACTCTATGAACATTGTAATTCCCTTTGAAACAGTATCACACACACCATGTAGAAAATGTAGCCACCTAAATGGGGTGTGACCACCCCAAATAGAAAATGTAACCCTGTGATGGTCTCACCCTTCCTCATCTCCCTGGCTTGAAATATTGAAGGGCCCCAGGGCTCAGTCCCAGATCCTCTTCTCTCCTCCATCTACATTCAAGCTCTTGACAATCTCCAGCAGTTCCCTGGCTTCATGTAACATCTCTATGCCAATTACATCTAAATGTCTAACTCCAACCCAAGACTCTCCCCTGAACTCCAATTTCACACATTGGACTGCCTTACCAGCATCTCCATTGGGATTTCTCAAGTTCACCAAATCAAGATGGTCTTCCTGAGCTCCCCCGAACTGTTCCCACTTCCTCACAGTATTTCCCATCTCAGGAAATTGCAATTCCATTTTGCTGATTGCTCAGGCTGGAGTCCTCCTTGGAGTCCTCCTCGGAGTCCTCCTCGACCCCTTTTATCTGACATCCAACCTGAAGGGAGGCCCCATCGACTCTGCCTTCATCTATTTCAGAATCAGCTACTATTCATGGTCACCACCATACCCCTGGTCTGGAGTCTCCTCACTGATCCCACTGTTGCCACTGGTCCCCACAGTCTGTGCTGCACCCACAGCCAGAGAGGTTCTAGGAGATCAGATGCTGCTCCAAAACCTCCAGCAGCCTCTATGCCCACTGGGAGTGAGAAGCCAACTCCTTACAGTGGCCGGCAAGGCCCTTCCTCCTTGAATTCACCTCTCACCTTTCCCTTCATTTCCTCTCCAGAGCCTCTTCGCTATTTCTTAAACACACCAGCCATATTCCTGCCCCAGGGATTTCATCCATGCTGTTCCATCTGCCTAAAGGCTTTTCCTGCAGAAGTCTGCATAGCTCTGTCCCTCATCCCCTTCAGGTTTTTACTCAAAAACCAACTTCCCAATAAGAATCTGCTTGACCTTCCTAGATCCCAAGTCCCTTTTATGTACTATTTTTCTCCATAGCCTTTAACCTCATCTGACGAGTATTTCCACAATGTATTTGCTTGACATCTGCCTCCCTCCTCTACAGCGTCAGCTCTAAGAGGGTAGGGTTTTTTGTTTGTTTTTTTTTTGCCCGTTTTGTCGCTTGCAGTATCCCCCAAACCTGCCACAGTGCCTGCCAATCTGTAATAAGGGAATAAGCTCATCTTTGGACAGTGAACCCCATATACCCAATGTGATACCAATAAATGTAGCCTGGACACATAGAGACACCTCATGGACAGTCGATGCCAGCACAACCCCCTAAAAAGCCTGAACCCTGAATGTGAATCCCATAAACAGGAAAACCCCATAAAAGGTGTGCTTGTCCTACGGTATGTCAGCTCCACAATGACAGGGGTTTGGTCTCTTTTCTTCGCTGCTTTATGACCACAGCCTGGGCCAGAGTATGCCATTGAACAGGCTGGTGATATATATTCGGCGACAGGAACTGAGTCCACACACAGCTAGTATCACCCCACAATCAGCAGAACCCATACAGATGGTACAATGTCCATAACTGATATAAACACCCACATATACTGTGAGTCTCATGTCAGCAGTGTAAACCCCATATAGAGAGTGTGATGCTCAAAAACAGTGTGAACCCCAATACAGGCGGCGTGGTCCTCGGAAGCCTCATACAGACAGGGTGACCCTCACAAATATGAGCCTCATACAAACAGTGCAACCTTCATAAACTTTGTGAACTCCACGTAATAAGGCAACCCACATGAATGGTGTGAACCCTATGTAGGCAGTGCGGCCCTCACAGTGTGAGACCCAGACAGGTGGGGAGACAGCAATAAACAATGTGCACCCCTATATGAATGGCATATTCCCTCATTAGTGTGCTCTACCACACAGACAGCATAACTTCTTTAAAACTGTGAATTCCTCTGTCAACAGGGTCAACTCTCATAACCTGGATAAGCCCCGCCACCGAGCCATATAAACAGGGTCACTTACATCAGGAGTGTGACTCTTCATGTGCATAAGGAGCTCCATAGTAAATGTGACCTCATGTACATTGTGCTCCTTGCCTGGGGGGATCACTCTGTGAGGCCTGTAGACTCA